GTCCTTAAATGCCAGCCCCATACTGTTATCTTAGACACCCTTGGCCACAGCAAAAGGGAAGAAACAGGCTTTGGCTCTGAGTTGAGCCCATAGATGCACAGTACATACACAGGTAGCTCATCCTATAAGCCATACAAAATGGGCACCCTTAGCTTAGACTAAAGATTCATTTAGTTCAGTATCCAGGGTTGCACATAACATAAACAGTGTGGGCATATCATGACACAGTGGTATACTATAGTTTCCTTTCTCTGTCATCCTTCCTTCATATGTTGCACTGCTTGGTTTCTGTTTTCATCAGCACTGAGCATGGAAATGACATATTCAGTGACCTATCCAGCATTACTACAAATCTCTGTCCTGAATGGCAATGACTAACTGAAGACCATCACACCATGATAAACCAAGGGCTTGTTTCTTGGTATTCTTAGCCTTGTATTTAGTGGCTGTAATTTTCCACTGCCATTTTATTATCTAGTCACTGTGTACCATGAGATCCGAAACCAGCACACCAATGAACAACGTGAAACCACCAGCAAAACGTGTCATTTCACAATTTACTAAAGCTCCACATCATCTCTGACTTCTCTGCATGACTGAACTCATTGTTTATAAAGGGTCTTCCCTCCACCCTAGCTTACAATTTGAGGTCCTTCCCTGAGGAATCTTCATGGTTTCAGAACTATGTAACATATATTAATCAAACCATTATAATACACAGACTTATCAACTCTTTCAAAAATCCTTTGGCAAAGGATTCTGGCTACTGCTGTAAAAGACAATAAAAATGTTTCCACAAATACAATAGCAACAAGAAGTAGCTAAAGAGAATTCCATCCTTTATTGGATGTGAGAGGGAACATTGTGACAATGGATGAGGAAAAGGCTGAAGTGCTTAATGCCTTCTTTGACTCAGTCATTAATAGCAAGACCAGTTATTCTCAGGGTACTCTGGGCTGCAAGAAAGGGATGAGAGCAGAATGAAGCTCCCATAATCCATGGAAAAATGGTCAGCAACCTGCTGCACCACTTAGGCACACACAAATCTATGGGACCGGATGGAATCCACCCAAGGGTACTGAGGGAGCTGGCAGAAGAGCTCGCCAAACCACTTTCAATCATTTATCAGCAGTTCTGGATAGCCAGGGAGGCCCCAGATGACTGGAGGTTGGCAAATGTGACACCCATCTACAGGAAGGGTCAGAAGGAGGATCTAGGGCATTGCAGGACAGCCAGTCTGACCTCAGTGCTGGCGAAGGTTATGGAGCACATCATGCTGAGTGCCATCACATGGCATGTATAGGATAACCAGGCAATCAGGCCCAGCCAACATGGGCTCACGAAAGGCAGGTCCTGTTTGACTGACCTGATCTCCTCCTATGACAAGGTGATGGGCTAAGTGGATAAGGGAAAGGTTGTGCATGTAGTCTACCTGGACTTTAATAAAGTCTTTGACACTGTCTCCCAGCGCATCAAGTCAAAATGCGAGACTACAGGCTTTGGGCAGAGTGGTTGGAAAGATTCCTGGTGGAAAAAGACCTGGAGATGCTGGTCGATAGCTGGCTGAACATAAGCCAGCAGTTCGTCCAGGTGGCCAAGGGGGCCAGTGGCATCCTGGCTTGTATCAGCAAGTGTGGCCAGCAGGACCAGAGCAGTGATCATCCCCCTGCACTAGGCACTAGTGAGGCACCTCAAATCCTGTGTTCAATTTTGGGCCTCTCACTACAGGACAAAAATTGAAGTGCTGGAGCATGCCCAGAGAAGGGCAACAAAGCTGGTGAAGGGTCTAGAGAGTGAGTCATATGAGGAATGGCTGAGGAAGGAGATTGTAGTGAGGTGGAGCCTATTCTCTTCACCCAACTAACAAGCAACAGGACTAGAGGAAATGGCCTCAAGTCGCTCCAGGGGAGATTTAAATTGGATATTAGGGAAAATTTCTTTATGGAAAGGGTTGTCAAGCATTGGAACAGGCTGCCCAGGGAAGTGTTGGACATGGTTTAGTGGTGGACTTGACACTGCTGTGTTGAGGATAAGATTCGATCTTAAAGGTCTTTGCCCAACCTAAAAGATTCTATGTTTCTATGACAGTCAAGTTAGTTCTTCAATATTTTGTCATACTTATTGGTAGAACTATAAATTGTGCAGTTTCCAAAAAATCAAAATTGGACTAACTGTTCTGCTATTCACTGCATGCTCACTTGCATCTTTTTAGAAAAACTTTATGTCACATTTGTTACTTCTGATTACTCTGGTACAGAGGAATTTGAACCATTGCATCAAAGTGAAAAGGTTAGCATTTTTTGTCTTGGGACAGCTGAGAGCTCTTTCATGCATACTAAACAATCCTGGGAATTTGTTGCTACTTGCTCTTTGAATACCTTTTTTTTTTTCCTGAAAACTCTTCTATTGTTAGTTCAACTTGGAATAATGGTTCAGGCTCAACCACTGCAGAGGAAGCACATGTGCAACGGATTGAGCTTTTCTGTTTGGCCAGTACTGCCCTTGAGCACTTCTCTCACACTTTGAACATCCACTGTCCCCTCAGACTCTTGGAAATGATGTCTTTGAAAAACAATATATTATTATATGGTATGACTACTGCAAGTTTCTTTTCCCAAAAGTTGTCCTTGTCCTTTCATTACAGTGTTAGATTTAATGTTATGGAATTGTTCTTTTTGGCAGGGGGACATTTCCTGATCTGTAATGACTGCCATTTTCCAAAATCTTTCTTCTTAATTCTAATTTATTTTTCTGTGTAAAAAAGCTTTTTTCTCCTTTTTAAGTTAGGCTTGGGGAATTTTTTATTTACTTCCAAATGCATTGCTGCATCTATTTACAGGAAAGCAAGTTGCGAGATATGGTTTTGTGAGAAAACTCTATGTGACCTAGCAAGATCTGTTGTGCCTCTAGATTGATGCAAATTACAAATATCTGTAAGAACCGATAGAAAAAGTACCTTCAGTCGAGGTTTGCTATGATCCAGTGATGTAAGCCCATACATATAGTTTTCAGTTTGGGAAACACTAAATACACTTTTTCTTATTGCCTTATTTGAATGCCACACAGATGAGCTTTTCTTCACTGTGATTTTAATTTAGAAGTTGGTTCCTCTACAGAAAGCTGACAGCTTCTAAGCACTATTCTTGTTTCCCTGTCATAATCTATTTTAATAGGTATGATCTAGATGGCCCATATTTTATTTATGGTACAACAGGAACCACAGCTCAAAACACATGCCAAGACTGATAACAGCTATTAGAGGGAGTCAAGAGAGAGTTTTTTAAAAGAGAGATGAGAGACACACATGAAGCTACACACTTGACAGGTAGAAGCAGCACGCACTCTACAGGCTTTGAAATAAATATTTCTGCATCAAAGGAATGGCCAACCTTCCAAAAAAGTTCTCTAACAGAGACAAGCTACTGTGTGCTGATCAGGCTAAAGGCAGAGGACTTTCTGAAACTTGTTACTGGTGTTACTGTGCTAATCTAATGGATCTGAGCAGTAAATTAACAACTGCTTGCTGGCACTTGTCAAAAAAACCTGCTTGAACCATATTTAAGTCTTAACTCTGAATAACAGAAGCAAAATAGCAAAATTAGAAACTTTTTCATGTCATGTTTATTCATTGCTGTTGTTCTACCATAGTACATTTGTCTGCATATTTCAAGGCTGTACAAAGACTGGTGTTAATGCTTAATACCGACTAACAGACTAACCCAGTTCAGTCAATAATTTACCCCTCCTGCAACCAGAGATCAGATATATACCATGAACATGAGCAAAGAAATAGATGTGGTGAAAAAAACCAGAAGAAAAAAAATAGATAGAGAAGTAAACAAGGAAAAAAAATGTATGTTCATTATGAATGTGACTTTGAGTATTGTGTATCTTAACAGTGAAAACAACTCTTTATAATATTGTGGCTATACTAACCATGAAGTGGATGAGAAGGAGAGTACCAATGTTGTATTATTGGACAGTCTGGGAACAGAAGGGGTTATATCAAAAGACACTGTAAGTGTCACTGGTGGAGTATAGGTGTTACTGGTAGGGTGCTTGATCCTACAAACAATACTGGAATGGTGCTTACTACCATGGGTAATCTCCCAGGTCCAGACAGTAATGGTACAGACACTGGCACCAGGAGGAGGTGGCTTGTGCTTCCTGCTGCTTGGGGACCTCTAGAAGCTAATTTAGGTGCAGGCTGAGGCTAGAAGTTGTCTTCTGGCTGCTCTGAGCTGTATATCTGATTCACAAAGGCTGGCTCCAGGGCACTGAACTGTAGAGATCTGACCTACCTCTGCATATGCCAAATTCTTAGAACCTCTAAAGTTTTCCCTGGAATAATTCTGGACTGTACATTTCACAGAAACAGTGGACAGGCCAGTATATATCTGCAGGGGAAAAACACACCTTCTTTGAGACCCCTTTGCATCAGCCAAGCTGGGACAACAGCTGAAAGGCAAGGATGTAATAAACTCACTGTTCAACAAAGGTACTATGCAAGGTAGTAAGCCTTATGCATGTTAAGGTCTATGCTAGTTATGAACTTCATGTTGGTAGGAGAATGGACACAAATATTAAAGGGACACAACTTGTACCCATTTGTCAGTCAGCGCAAAAAAAAATGGTGAGAAGGCAGGCATAAGGGAAGAAGCAGTCTTACACAACCCTCTCCACCCACATGCTACTCATCTTCCCTTCTAGAAGATGTAACTATGCTGTCAGTATCACACAGGCCTATTTTAACCCAGAGCTAATGACAATTCTGCCTGAATGCAACCTTCTTAAAAAAAAAAAAAAAAAAAAAAAAAAAAGCAAGGCCCAAACAAACATGCAGTTATGACAACTTAAATTGATGAAGAGTCTCATCTACAAAACACAGTGAATAACATCAGTTAAGAGGTGGAGAGCCCCTCTGTAGCCATGCCATACTCATTGGGTCAAACACTTGATTTAAGAGTGGTGATCACCACATACCTAATATGTACATGAACTTAATCTTTTTTCAGAGGGTTCACAATTTTCCCCATGAAGAGTATATTGTTCTCCAAAGTTATGACCATTAAGAAGGGCCTGTTGAATCTAATGGTAGCTGGAACAGACATAGGCACAATCTCCATGCCTGTGGCAGCTGCTGCTTCGGTACCAGTCTCATCCACCTTTATCACAGCCTTATGAATAGCCTGCAAAGAAACAGACATGTTACATGTCAAGGGGGTACAAAACTACTCACCTAAATAAGCATGTGAGTGAAAAGTGCCTGAAGAAGTTATTAGTAAGAAACAAGCATCAGATGGACAGGTGTGAGTCCACTACATAAAGACAGCAAAGCTGGGGGAAAAAAAATCAGCAAGCTACATGCAGCATAGCTTTCTGGCCCCAGAGAGGAAAAGTTCATCTCCAGTGGAGTGGTATGTCCCTGCTATTGAAAACATTTGCTTTGTTTCTTTTCTTATTCCCTGTACCCACTCATGGAGATCTGTACAGCTAGACAAAATTTTAAGAGAGTAAGATCATATTTAACTGTCTGTTAAAAGTTCACATAGTTGAAGAAATAACATGCAGATTAGTACAATGAATAGCATTCTGAAATCCTGTTTCCTGTGGTCCTTCATGTCTTGGGAAAAATGGGAGCAAAGGAGAAGGGCCGAAAATGGAGGGCTAGAGTAGACAAACATAAGATTTACCTTGAAAAATCAAGACATTGACAGATCCTGATTCACTAATGCCTGCCTAAGGTCATGAGGGCAGTTGTTTCTCCATATTAAACAATGAAATTTGCACTGATTGTCACCTTTAAACTCTATTGAAGTATAACTTATCTCTAGCTTTTGCCTGGGCCTGGCACTAATAAGGGTCATTGCTCATAGGCTTGAAGTCAAATGTTTATAATAACTACATTTTCCTTTCCTGTCAACAGTTTAAAATCAAGCAGAGCTTTTCCTCTTCCCTCCCCTCCATAAAACGCAAGAAGTGATACATCCTACAGCTCTCTACTTGCCCACAAACAGGCTAAAGAAGGCAGACATGAACAGAAGCAGCAACATAGTGACTGTAACAACATAGAATCATAGAATCAATCCGGTTGGAAGAGACCTCAAAGATCATCAAGTCCAACACTACCGTCCTTACTAGACCATGGCACTAAGTGTCACATCCAGTCTCGTCTGGATGTAGCACTTAGGCATGTGGCACTTAGGCATCGTGGCACTGCACATGCTGCAGGAAGGTACCTAGGTGTGGATAGATGACAATTTGGTCTAACCTGTTTTATAAAGTTGCCTCATTCAGGTCAAAATGGCCTTTTAGACTAAAAAATTGCAGACATATAACCTGCTCCAACCCAATTGCTCTTAGAGCATAAATACTCTGCACGCCAACAGCAGCCCTTTCATGTGAAGCAAAGCCTCTTTACGTGACTTTTGCATCATGAATAGTTATACAGAATGTGATGCAAGTATCGGTAACCATAAAACAAAAAGCAGTATGACTTACCTGGGAAATCCTGTGCTGGGGCTGCCCAGTGATCCCAGACAGGTCAGCCTTATCAGTGAATAAATCCATAATGCCCATTCTATATAAGATCTCTTTCAGGTCATATGTCCCATAAAGAGTGAATTTTGGAAGATACAAATTTACTGAGCTGCCAGAAAAGAAATTCAAGGATATGGTGAAACATTTCATGAGGTATCACAGAATAACATAGACTCACAACAGAAGAATTTTGTTTTCTCTTTAAAGATATTTTGTCTGCAGGCTCTCTCTAGCCTACATAGGCTGCATACATTGACATTCATTTGGGGAGAAGAAAAGAAGGTTTATAACAATGCTGGAAGGCTGGTTGAGAGGACAGGGTTGGAGATTGCTGGCTAACAGTCTACAGTAAGCCAACAAATGAACAGTGAGACTGAGCCAGTGATCATTCAGCACAATGTTATAGCTCTACCTCCCTAGCTTTATCTAACATTTTCAGAAGTTAGTGATCTTTTGTGCTATCTGCTGGAAGCATCTTCGTCATGTCCCATTACTGAGGATGCAGAGGATTCACCTTGTGATAAAATTGCTCCTTTAGGTGCCTCGGGCTGAGCACCAAAAAATATCCCACACGTCTACGTTCATGGGTTACTCTGGGGGGAAAAAAGAGTTGGCCTTGTGGATTTATCATATAAATCAGGACAGAGAAAACAAAAATATATACCAAAGAAGCAGGACAAGAGTTGGTAGTGGTGGAATGGATAACAAAGTAAAAAATAAAAACACATTGACATAATATAGTTAATCAATAGATAATTATTTTTCTATGTCAAGCTCAATGTCTGATTCATTCATTTTTAAGTAACTACTTAGCTGCTTTCCATAAATTAACCACAGCTCAACACTTCTGACCCATTTATTCCTTGCTCTTTCCATAAGGATCCAACAATTACTTTTCAAAGGTTTCACCCAACATTTACAGCTAGAAGCAGCAAAAAGAAACAGAGGTTAGTGATAGTCCTGACGCTGGGTACTGTCTTCTGGTGAGAAACCAGGACAACTCTCCAGGGCTCTAGGTCAGGGAGATGTGGGGCACTTAATAACACTAGGCAAAGAACAAGCCATCCAGTGGACAAGTGGGAATGAAAGGGCCCACCCATTATCTCCAGTGCTGCACAGCATCTAATGCCAAATCTGGCTGGTACTCAAAAATGAGAGTACCAGTGCATTGATAACAGGTTGCTGACCTTTTACTTCTGCCTAATTTCAGTCTGTGCTGATTGCTGTCCCAAATGAGGACGCAACTATCGTTGAATTGTCTGTCTTGCTGCTGTGTAAAGACACTCCTTCATGAGCCCCCACTTGCTTTTAATATGGGGGAAAGGGAAAGCCATAGACACACAGTTAACAATGCAACCAGGAAGGAAGCACTGGGATGCACTTTGCAGAAGTGAAAGTGATGTTTTCTCCACAGTCCAGCCATTAAATATACCTCAGTTGCCTGTACTGGTAATATTTTGATACTCTACCCTGTTCAGCAGCCAACAGTAATGAAACATGTCCCTCACAATAATTCTGCAACTCATATCAACATTTGTTTGCAGACAGAGAAACAGAGACCAACATAACATGCCCACAGACCTTAAAACATTCCATATCCTACTTCAAATTCATTTAATTAGACCTCCCAGAGGTTCCAAATAATAGCAGAGGCAGGAAGTTGCTTTGAAAACCAGAGGGAAAAGGAGGAGATTGTTCCATTAATTTGCAAGAGAGAATGGTCATGATGACAAATGGGGAGCAGCACGAAACAAACTCATCTTTGACAGTGATGCTTTTTCATATCATAAGACGGAGATGGAAATATAAGTACCCTCAATTGTATTTATTGCTTTTCTAATCGTTTTCAAGGCAATCATGTTTCTTTGACAAAATTATATGGAAGTCTCTTGATTCATCAGTTTTTTGCCCTACAGTAACAATCCACATAGCTGCTCCCAGAAGCTTCAAAACTGTAAAGGTGCACAGAGAATTACATACTTTTTCCTGGGATTTTTTTTCAAATAAAAAGAAAATAATTTATTTATTGTTAAATCTTAAGGTTTAACAACGAATTAGAGTTAAGAGCATGACACTGGTTTGGGGTTTCTGTATTAGGATGTAATTTTTGTCTTGAGAAGGGATCATCCAAAATGTGTAAGTGTGAAGATCACTAACTTGACACACCAAATTCATGAATGAACACAAGGGCTTGATACTATAGAAATGTTGCCTCTATGCTTGTGCACATATTTTGTCCCATGAAAGGCTACTACTATACATGACACTAAGTAAAGAAAGGCTAAAATTGTTTTTAGAAAGCATATAATCTTTCTGCCTTCTACTCAAAGTTACCTTGAAATGAGTGTCATTTTTCCTTCTAAAGTTCTCAGAGAGCCTGGACACAGTTGCTCTGCAATGTGCCAGCTGCTCCATACTGGCATTGAGCTTTGCCCTCACAATTGCCAACTTTATTTCAGCATTAACTGTGCAATTATTGCAATTTTAATAGGCAGAAAAGGACAAAGATACAAGAAAAAAGAGGTGAAGTACTAGAAATTAACTTGCAAATAGGAGAAGGCAGCAGACCTCCTCCCCCCAAAAAAGTGACAAGAGGTCAAAGTCCAAAAACTGGAGCTTATTGGGAGTTGAAGATAGGAAACAAAATGCAGAAATGGCAAGAGTCCTAAAGCTGTGAAGGTTTTCAGTGCATGCAGTACTGAATGTGAAAACACAGGGACACCAGGGAGCCAGATTCAACTTTAGTCAGTGGGAATTCTTCTATAGGTTATTAACTGAACTAAAAATGTTATCCTGATTTTGTCATAGCCCAACACATTTGTTTCCTTGCATACCATCTGAACCAAGAACTATAGAATTTTACCTTTTTGTGACTAATGTCCTCCACCTTGACATACGTTCACAAGACAATCTTTTATCCAGCTTCCTCATTCTTCCTTGATCAGGCAGAATAAAAAATGCTGAAGCACCTCCTTTGTAATCCATTTGCACCACAGTAGAAGACAGCTGCTCATCATAGCCATGCTTGAACAGGCCCATTCCAAACATCATCGGGACTTCAACAGCCTTGTTCCCATCCACAAAGAATTTGCTCCTTTTAGTGTATTTTGGATCAAAAGGTTTTTCCCATTCAGCTTGAAATATAAGAGACAGAGTTACAGGATATTTTGAGGACATGAAACCATAGGACATATTGCCATAGGACACATTCTTAGATGACAGAAACTGGTACAGTTGTTTCAGCTTCAAAGACCAACCAGTTTGCAATGATCACTTGATCTTACTGAATCCTCAGAATAATTCAATAGCAACACACAGTAGGTAGAGTGTGATGTAAAAAAAACCCCTCCTTCAGATCTTACAGTAGGTTGCAAAATCCTTCATCTAGATGAGGTATCAAGTGTTCTACCTTGCAGTTTTACTATGTGACAACAGTTTTAAGGAGCCTCATATGATGCAGCCTTTAACTGAGCTCAGAAGAAGATTCTCTCCTTTCCTTATTCCCAGAACAAAATAGATTTGTGGAAGGTGACATGAGGTATAAATTCTCCAGAGAAATTAAGGGATCTGGGTTAGTTGCAGAGAGAAGGTATCTCACTTTGGCTGATGACAAATAAAGTCAAGAACAGCTTAATTCTACCAGACCTCTGGGTTAAGAAAGAAAACATAACAATATCAGAAACTTTTACCACTGTCATCTTCACAATATGAAATTTCCAAAGGCTCCTCACTTAGTCAAGGGGAAACTGTCTACATTGACATGCTCTGTACAACTACCTGAAAGGAGGTTGTAGTGAAGTGGGGGTCAGCCTCTTCTCCAATGCAATTAGCACTAGGATAAGAGGAAATGGCCTCAAGTAGTTCCAGGTGAAATTCAGGTTCGACATCAGGAAGAATTTCTTCACTGAAAGGCTTGTCAAGCATTTGAACATGCTGGTCAGGGACATGGTGGACTCACCATACCTGGAAGAGTTCAAGAAATGACTGGACGTGACACTTAGTGTTATGGTTTAGTGGGCATAGTGGTGTTGGTCAAAGATTGGACTCAATGATCTTGGAGATCTTTTCCAACTTTAAAGATTCTATGATTCTATAAATACTCAAGAATCTCCTCCTCCAAGCACAGAAGTGATGCATCCCAGCAAAGAGGAAGCCAGGCAAAAATGCCAGGAGTCCTGCAAGAATGAACAAGATGATCCTGGACAAACTCGAAGACAAACAAGTATTCTGCAGAGGGTGAAAGCAAAGACAGGTAAACTGGGAGATATAGAAAGAGGTTTTCAGAGGGGCCAGGGATTAGGTTAGGAGAGTTAGACGTGTGATATCATTAAATATGGCCAGGGACATGGAGGGAAATAAGAAAAGCTTCTATAGTTATAATGATGATAAAACAAAGACTAGGGAAAATGTGGGCCCTCTCCAGAAGGAAAAATGAAACCTGGTTAATCTGTAGAAGGTCGAGGTACTCAATGATGGTTTTTGCCTTAGTCTTCATTGGCAAGTGCTCCAGGCACACCACCCAAGTCACAGAAGGCACAGGCAGGGACTGGGAGAATTAAGAACTTCCCACTGTAGGAGAAGATCAGGTTCAAGACCATCTAAGGAACCTGAAGAAGCAGATGTCCATGGCACCTGATGAAATGTACCTGAAGCTCCTGGGGGAAATGTTGGATGAGGTGGCAAAGCCACTATCCATCATATTTGAGAAGCTGTGGTAGTCCAGGAAGTTCCCACTGACTGGAAAAGGGGAACCATAGCCCTTACTTTTAAAAAGCAAAAATACCCAGAGAGCCAGAGAACCACCAGTCAGTCTCACCTGACATGGCAAGATCATGGAGCAGATTCTCCTGGAAACTATGCTAATACACGTGGACAATTAAGAAGTGATTGGTGACTAACAACACTGATTCACTAAGGGCAAATTGTTCTAAAAAAAGAGTAATTGATGTCATCTACCTGGAGCTGTGTAAAGCATTTGACACTGTCCCGCATGGCATCCTCATGTCTAAACTGGAGAGATGGATTTGACAGAAGATCTGCTCAGTGGATACGAACTGGCTGTACGGTCACATCTGAAGGGTTGCAGCCAATGGCTTGATGTCCAAGACAAGACCGGTGGTAGGTGGCATTCCTCAGGGTTCGGTGTTAGGACCAGTGCTGTTCAACATTTTTGTTGGTGACACAAACACTGGGACTGAATGCACCCTCAGCAGGTTTGTCAACACCAAGTTCTGTGGTGCAGTCAACATGCTGGAAGGAAGGGAGGCCATCCAGGGGGAGCATGACAGGCTTGAGAGGTGGCCCCATTGGATCCTCATGAGTTCAACAAGGCCAAGTGCAAGGTCCTACATGTGGGTTGGGGCAATCTCAAGCACAAATACAGGCTGGGTGGAGAAGGGCTGAGTTGAGAGCACACCCCCAGGAGAAGGATTTGGGGTGTTGGTCGATGAGAAACTCAACATGACCCAGCAACACATACTCACAGCCCAGAAAGTCAACCATATTCTGGGCTATGTCAAAAGCAGAGTGACCAGCAGGTTGAAGGTAGTGATTCTTCTCCTCTGCTCCAATCTGGTGAGATCCCACCTGAAGTACTGCCTTTAGCTCCAGGATCTCCAACACAGGAAGGATATGGGCCTGTTGGAGCAACTCCAGGTCTGTGTCATGAAGATGATCAGAGGCTGGAGCACCTCTCCTATGAAAACAGGCTGAGAATGTCGGGGTTGTTCAGCCTGGAGAAGAGAAGGCTGTGGGGAGACCTTAGAGCCCCTTCCGGTACCTAAAGGGGGCCTATAAAAATTAGATGGGGAGAGAATTTTTACACAGGCAGATAGTAATAGGACAAAGGGGAATGACTTTAAACTGAAAGAGGCAGATTTATATTAGCTATAAGGAAGAAATTCTTCACTATGACAGTGGTGAGACACAAGAACAGGTTGCCCAGAGAAGTTTTATATGCTCCATCCCTGGAGGTGATCAAGGCCAGGTTGGATGGGTCTTTGAACAAAGTGGAAGATGTCCTTGTCCATGGCAGGGGATTGGAACCTGATGATCTTTAAGGTCCCTTCCAACATGAACCATGATAGTCATTTATGACACAGAGATGATATTCACTAATACTTTCCTTCTATTTCAAGGAAACTCCTATCCCTATGCTCACTACTACCTTAGGGGTCTACTTTCTAGGGATGGCACCTTTCTCAGATGCTTCATAGTGGTCAAGAGGAAAAATTAACTTTGAGGTATGCTTGATAAGGGATGGCTGTAATATAGTGGAATAAAATGCCTACTGGCTGAGAGCCAGGAAAATATTGATAGACTTTTGTCCTTAGAGAAGGACTTCTGTACTACACTACAGCAGATAAAAAGAGGGAGGAGAGTTACAATACCGTGCAAGGAAGGTTGTAATGCATAAACAGTGGACAAGAGCCTAGAAGTACAGACTTATAGAGCTGACTGAGCTTTAGAGATCCTCTCCAGATTAATCCCAGCCTTTAGATTGTTAACCCCCTCTCAGTTTCAATATAAAAAATTGTTGTTATATTATTGTTATTAATGTTATTCTTAATCTACTTTCTTTCAAATTGAGGAGCAAAAACTGAAAGTCCATCACCTTTGGTGGAGCTGGGAAACCATTTCAGTTAGAAAACATCTGATTTTTAAAAAAACACCTTATTTTTAGAACATGTGAAAGTTAACTGTAATACAAGGTTTCTTAATACCAGGTTTCTCAGGCTTTTGTCCCCATTGTGCTACTAAATTGCTCCTTCTGCAAACACCTTTCAGGAAAAGAAAAATCAATAGGGTTTTTTACCATTTTTGAAAGATGAGCCTGATGCTCAGTAAAAGTCTATCTTGAAAACATTATTTCAGACAAACAGATATGCTTTCAAGAGAATTAAGAAATATCAGTTATCTGTATTTCAATCAGCTCCATGTAGGTGTTGCCAAATCTTCAAAGATTAATACAAGGAGCAGAGACACAGATGAAAAGCAAAACAAACCAGAAATATGGCTCTTCATTTCTTTCAGGAGAAGCCTTATATTGGAGACTGGAAGCATCCAGGTTAACAGTTTTAAAAGAACAACATATCTTTTTAAAAAATAGAATCTCTAATACATCATCCCCATTTCAACTAAAAAGCTTGATGATATTTTCATCAAATACATTATGGAATATTATTTTTCTGAGTACCATTGTTTTGTTTTCAGCATACAAATAGCAAGAGAGAGCAGGTTTGAAAGAAGATGCAATATCTGTTATTAGACCACTGATTGAGCCTTACAGCCTTGATCCTCTTCTTCTCATTAGATCAGCAGTCTGAATAGCTCTGGGAAGATCTGTAGATTGTATCTAAGCAGACTGCACAAGTTAATTAAGAAAAACAAGCTTTTTGTCAATAGGCTTGTATTTGATACTGGTGGGTCCATCTCTTCACTGGAAAATATTAGAATCTGCAAATCAAAAAAAAAAGGTTTAAACCTATGCCTCTAGACACATCAGGACTACAGACATACTATTGGCAAAGGTATAGTTAGTAAAAAAATAAGGAGAGCATGAGTGTGAAACTAAAGCTATTGTTGCATGTTTAGTTTTGGATACAAGAACATGCTCAGTAATGGCAAAACTATGGAGTAGGTATTTTCTGTTTGGTAAGATACTAAGTTTTACTTTAACAGTGTTCTTTGAATTTAACTCTGAACTTGCTGAAAAAAAAAATCAGCTGAAGTGGATTTCAAATCATTCCTAGCCAGCAAAGCATTTAAGAAAGTGCTTGAACCTCACTAGGTTGTACAGGACTTTAGAGGCTTTACTGACTAGAAAGGTATTCTGAGTAGGTATTTTCTGTTTGGTAAGATACTAAGTTTTACTTTAACAGTGTTCTTTGAATTTAACTCTGAACTTGCTGAAAAAAAAAATCAGCTGAAGTGGATTTCAAATCATTCCTAGCCAGCAAAGCATTTAAGAAAGTGCTTGAACCTCACTAGGTTGTACAGGACTTTAGAGGCTTTACTGACTAGAAAGGTATTCTGCAATGTATATTTCATCTTCAGCATAGAAATTTATATATTAAAAGATATGGAAAAATTTGCCATATATTTTACTAGGATTTATCATCAGTGTCAAGCAGAAGATAATTTCCAATAGCTTTGTTTGTAATTAAGTGTAAGTGAGGACCAAAAGAAAATAAGATATGAGTCCATCCGCAAAACCATATTGCAAAAAAAGGTGATGAAGTCCAAGACTGACCTGAGGAAACAATTTATGAAATAGAAGGTTGTGATATGTATATCTTACCGTTAAAATAAATATAGCTAATAAGAAGAATTTCAGTAAGTGGATCAAGGTTATTTACGAGGTCCTTGATTTTCCCATTTGTTCTTTCTGCTACATATTGATTGATCCTTTGCTGAGCTTGATCAGCCTTCTTGAAGTTCATAGGATAAGCTTCTCCTTCATAGAAGTTTCTGAGATTATTTAAAAATTTATCTTGTGGCTTCAGTCGGTCAAGCACAAACAGAACATTTCCCATGTTCAGCTGTAACCCCCCATTCTTTCTGTTTACCATTTGCATGAGTTGACGATAACCTTCATGTATTTCATTTTCAGAAATCTGACGTGGGTTAAAGCTAAGGACCCTAAGAATCTGTGTCAGGGTGTCTGACCTGGCACCCAGAGTCAGCATTGCAAAGGCAGTAGAGATGCTCAAAGGAGAGAAGAAAACATTCCGACTGTTTTCACGAGAAGAAATCTCTTTGTAGAAACAACATGCAAATTGACAGACACTGTTCCTTACACTCTGCCATGGCATGTTTTGGTTTTCTTGGCGTCTTTCATTCTGGTTTCTTACCCCTTGCTGATTAGGCTCATAGCAGTAACTGTTGGAATTAATTCCAACAAGTAAAAGACACAGGAAAAACAACATCTTCATGTTTCTATGACTCTGTAATAGAACAAAAATGACATTTGGCTTACAAACCTTTCCACCTTGTATTTAGCAATACATCAACCCCTTCACTATACAGAGTTATCTTAGTACCAGTGACTTCAAGACACTTGAATGGAGGGATACTAGCTTTCTATTTCAAGGAAGCAGACTCTGGAAAATTACTCAACCTACTGAAGAGGTTATGTAATAATAAAATTAAAGTCAAAGAGAGATGAGGTAATACCAAAGACGCCCTCATTAAAGTTAGGCTACAGTCCCTTTGAAACTAAAAAGATAACATTGGAAAAAACAATGTGGCTTTAAGTGATAAAGAACTGTATATCAAAAGTACAGGCCTACAGAGCAGAAAGTAAGGGAGCCAGTCAGGAATAATCAGTCAAATTTGAAAATTTAACTGATGAAAAATCAAAGCAGAAGAAAGGCACAATATTCCTCCATTGTGAAAGTTAAAATATTGTGCATTTTTGAATGGGCTGCATGTAATCACATAGGCAGGCACCAAAGAGAAAGTAAATGCACTTGTTAATGAGGAAGCGCTGAACATTTACAGCCATTTCATAAAGCTTGAACAACTGAGCACAACTGGAAAGAAACCTTCCACATAACTAACAAAAGAGGGAAATAGCGATTAGGATGTTATTAAGACCCTGGAAATACAGTGCTACTTATTAAGAAAGGGAAAATGAGTATGTACACAGAATAGCAAATGGAAACAAGTGTGCCTGCTGCATGTAAAGGCATGTCTAGCCCAGTGACCAAAACGAATCACCTAAAAATAAAAGAAAAAGCAGAGGAAATACTAGAACAATCATGGTCTTTTATCATCAGAAAGATAGAAAAGTGAGATTTTGGCAGTGAAGGCTGTAATGTTTAAAGATGAAGAAGAATGAGTGAATTCTGGAGGAACAAAGATACTAAAAAACACCAATAGAGCAGGAAAGTCTTTTCCAGAGCAGCATGGAAACCATTCATTCCACATCTGTGGCAATACTTTTACCTCTAGAAATTAATAATGTATCACAACTGGATCAATAACTTTTGTCAACATGGAAAAAGAAAATAAAGTTGTGGAATGTCTGGAAATCCAGAACATTCTCCTGTGGTATGTGACCATTTTACCTACAGAAACCTTCATAAAACAAAAGTATTGTCTAGAGGAAAATGTAAGGATTTTCAAAGGGGAAAAATATCTTAGGTTTCTGACTTTCACTGAGAAATGCAGACTCTGCCTTGGAAAATCATTGAACCCTTATCAGCTTCCACCATGACCCCACATTTGTGTTCTCCACTTTCAAGCCTCTCACTTCTCCAAACCCAGTGAACTCAGAATGTTGACCTCTGCTTTATTAATAGATGCCCTAAATATTCCTTAATTCCTTATGTCCTCCACTTTGAATGTGGAGGACATAGAAATACTACTGTTGTTATGAAGGGCCTGAAGCCCATGACAAACCACTTTCAGACAGTTCACTTGCATATCTAGAACACATTTCAATATAAGTTCTTTGATTTCCACCATCACTCTTACTCTAATTATTTTAGCCACAGTTTCTTTTTTTTTCAAACTCTCTAGATGCTTTAGAGACCAATCCTTAAGTCTCCACTTCCATTTCATTTCATGTCCTACATTTGTTATTGCTCTCAATTTGCTTCATTTAAAACATTTAGAAATGCAGTTTTCCTAAGGAGAGTTATGCCATATAAACATGTTATCTCACAGAGAACTTATTTTTTTATTTTAAATCCCCCCCAAACCTCACTAAAACAATAAAAAACTTGAATATGAACAGGATAATTTCTGAATTGATTATTCAAAAACTGTTGTCCTGCATATAATGTTCAAAAAATTTTCCACAGGAAAAAAAACTGCATTACTTACAGTACAGCCAAAAGGGTCCTGTTGTATTCGCCAGGTCTGCACAGGTCCTTGCTCAGTTGTTTATGCTGCTGAACACAAAGCAGGGTATCCTCTAGTAAAGGTTAAGATCATCTAAGGGCTGACTCATACATTATAATTTTAGAGATTAGTATGATGTCGAAACTAGTTTTACTGGACACTTAACTTTACTGAATATGTTTCACACGTGACTTTTTATTATTCATGACTATCTGATCATGCTGGTTAGATTCAAACCCATTTTCCTCAAATTGAACTTGCTGTTTCTTAATATCAAACATTCATACAGATCTCAGTTGCCCAAATCTACTGTTTTATGAACAAGAGAATCATCAGATGTAATTACTTCAGAGTAGTATCTTGAAGATAATTTCCAGCGACTACAGCATTGCTGCCACTAAGGCAGGAGGGCAAGGCTTGATGCACAGGGACAATCTGAATTTTTGTGACCTAGGCTGCTTTGTCTCCTGCATATCCATGATTGGGATTGACTGTCTCCAGGTGAAGCCAGTGATGATTCAAATAGGTGCAGGGTTTAAAACACTGTTTTGCTACATTAGTGAATGCTGCCATGTGTGTTCCTAAGTATCCACTCCCAGATGGGGAATCCACTGGCAGCAAGAGCTGTGATAGTGACTCCTGGGCTACTTGCATGGCCCTGTTCTCAGGCAAGAAGAATGTGGCTGGGATGCCACTGAATGCAGGTGATCCCAGTTACAAGCATGGCCTGGGGACAGAGGGTGGAAGCCTAGAAACATGGGTGTTAAATAGAGCAAGTCCTTAGATCAGCTTACTATCTTGTGATCTGAGATGTGGGGAGCGGGCCCCTCTGATCATGTGCCAAGTTCAGCTGGGTCACATCAGACTGGCAACCTGTGCTTAGCTGTACTCCTGGGTGCAGAATGCCAGAAGCATTGAAGAAGGGAACTCTGGGTACTACATAGTTCAATCCCTTGCTCAAAGCAGAGTCATCTACAGTGAGTTGCTCAGGATGGTGTCCAGCTGGGCTTCGAATTCCTCCAACAATGGAGGCTCCACAATCTCTCTGTGTGATCTCTCATTTTCAGTGTTTGACAACACTGACACTAAAACATGTTTTCTCTACATTTAAATGGAATTGCATTTTAATTTGTGCTTGTTGCCCCTTGCCCTGACACTGGATGTCAATGAGCAGAGGCTATCTTGTCTCATTAAAACTCAGGTATTTATACAAATTGTTGAGATCTCTACAGGCCTTTTTTACTTTGGGCTAAACATTTCCAGCTCTGTCAGCCTCTCCTCATATGTCAGATGCTGCCATTGTTCAGTCACCATTGTGCCAGTTTACTGGAGTCACTCCAGTAAGTACATGTCCTTCTTGCATTGTGGAGTCCATGACTGGATGCAGCACTCCAAATGCATACACCAAGGATGAGGAGAGAGGAAGAATCACTTGGCTTGACCTTCAGGCAATACTCTTCTTAATGCAGCTCAAGTACATAGAACTATGGAATCATAGAATCACAGAATGGTTTGGGTTGGAAGGGACCTTAAAGATCATCTAGTTGCAACCCCACTGCCCTGGGCAGGGACATCTTCCACTATACCAGGTTTCTCAAAGCCCCATCCAATCTGACCTTGAGCACTTCCAGGGATGGAGCATCCATAACTTCTCTGGACAACCTGTTCCAGTGTCTGACCACCCTCACGGTGAAGACTTTCTTCCTTATATCTAGTCTAAACCTACCCTCTTTCAGATGGAATCAGTTCCCCTTGTCCTGCCACCTCCTACTATTATAAAAAGTCCCTCTCCAGCTCTTCTGTAGGACCTTTTAGGTATTAAAAGGCTGCAGTTAAGTCACCCCTACATCACCTTTTTTCCAGGCTGAACAACTCCAACTCTTTCAGCCTCTCTTCATAGGAGAGATGCCTCAGCCCTCTAATTATTTTTGTAGTCCTTGTCTGGACATGTTCACATCCTTCTTATGCTGGGTATTCCACAGCTGGATGCAGCACTCCAGGTGGAGTCTCACCAGAGCAGAGTAGAGGGGCAGGATCACCTCCCTGGACCTGCTGGCCACACTCCTTTTGATGCAGCCCAGGGCATGATTGGCTTTCTCCGCTGCAAGTGCACATTGCTGGCTCATGTCCAGCCTCTCATCCACCAGCCCCCCCAAGTCCTTCTCAGGAGGGCTGCTCTCAAACTCTTCATGCCCCAGCTTGTACTGATACCCTGACCCAACTGCAGCACTTTGCACTTGGTCTTATTTAACCTCAGGAGATTCCCATAAGCCCACTTCTCAAGCTTGTCCAGGTCCCTCTGGATGGCATCCTGTCCTTCAGGTGTGGCAACCACACCACTCAGCTTGGTGTCGTTGTCTGCATTTCCTCCAAGAGTTTACTGCTGGCTCATGGTTAACTTGGTGTCCACCAGAGCACAGCATATAATTTTCTAGAACTAGTATATTTTTTTTTGCTCATTTTCTCATTTTTTCCCTTCAAAATGCAAACATTTTTGGGAAGGGGCCAAGCCTTACTATACAAAACACAGAGTGTTCATCTTGATGCTGTTTCTAAGCATGATTGAAATACTAGCCACAATAACAACATTTTCTGTGAGGCAAAGATGCAACCAGTGAAAGCTGCTGATGATTACAACCTATCAAACGACTCAACAGATTGCAAAAAAACCCACTTTGAATAGGTTAGTTATGACCTAAAACTTGAGAAATAGAAGGCTTTGAGGCAGGATACTGGACTCACACACAGTATGTTCTTCACACATACAACTCATCTGAAAGAGTATTTGAGATATCATTTTCACTGCTTCTTGTATAAATAAGAGCCAAGAATCTCACTTAGAGCTAACTTTTAATAATGGGCTGCAGTTTTCATGGTATATAAAACCCGATTTCTGATGAAGGAAGGAAGGAAGCCCAATTAAATACAGACGCCATACTAATGACAAGGTGACGGATGAATGACT